TGTTGAAAGTTAAGTCGGTCAGCACTAGCAGCAACAATCTTGCTGTGTTCCTAGGCATTGTAGACTTGGAACTGACCCATAGCTGACCCTCTAGTGAGTTTTTAGAGTCAGTTAATGCAGAAGAGGAGATTGCCTATCCTCCTGTGGAGCAGCTGGTGGATTTGAACTGCATGCCTTTAGGATTGCAGTGGCAGCTTCTTGCCACTAGGCCACCAAAGCTCCCTAACAGTAACTATGTTAGTTGTTGTTGTTGTTATGTGCCGTCGAGTCGCTTGCGACGACTCATAGTGACCCTATGTACAACAGCTCTAAACTCTGCTCTGTTCTGTGCCAATCTCACTGTCACTGACACACCCATCCCGATTGCCGTAGTCACCGAATCAATCCATCTCCCAGAGGGCCTTCCCCTCCTGCGCCGGCCCTCCACCCTCCCAAGCATGATGTCCCTCTCCAGGGAACAATCCCTCCTTACAACATGGCCAAAGTATGTCAGACGAAGCCTCAGAATCCTTGCCTTCAAGGTGCAGCCCGGTTTAACCCTCTCCAGGGTGAATCTGTTTGTTTTCTTAGCAGTCCATGACACCCTCAGCTCTGGTCTCCAACACCAAAGCATCAGTTCTCCTTCTATCCTCCCTGGTCATTGTCCAGCTCTCTGGCACATAACAAGTGATTGCAATGACCATGACCTATACCAGATGCACCTTAGTCTCCAGAGACACATCGTTGCTCTTGATGACTTTAGAGAGGTCCCTAACAGCAGACTTTCCCATCGCAATACGTCTGCAGCAATCAAAATGTTTGTTATGTTATTTTCAATGACAAATAATTTATTTTTACATGCAGTAACTCTGAATATCAAATCTCATAATGAAAATTAGTGCTTATATTCCATCAGAGAAGGGTTTTCTACCCAGCATGTTCATCACGGCAGCCTTTACATCTTTGTTTCTTAGACTGTAAATGAGAGGATTGAGCATGGGAGTCATAACTCCGTAGAAGAGGGAGATGAGGACCTCAAAGATGTCTTGGTCATCTGTATCAGCAGGGTTTGTAGACTTGGGCTTTGCATACATGAAGAAGATGGTTCCATAAAATATAATCACCACTGTCAGATGGGCTGAACAGGTAGAAAACGCTTTATGTTTTCCTTCAGTGGAAGGGATCCTCAAAATGGTAGAAACAATAAAAATATAAGAGGCAGAAATTAACAGCAATGGAATAACTAGAACAATCAGATTTGACCCAGCCATGCTGATCACATTGATTGAAATATCAGCACAGGCAAGTTTCAGGATAGCCAGAATTTCACAGACAAAATGACTAATGACATTATTAGCACAGAATGGTAACTGAATTGCCAGAGATGTCTGCACCATTGAGTCCACCAGTCCGGTGACCCAGGATCCAGCTGCCATGAGCACATAGGCACTCCTGCTCATGATGACAGGGTATCTGAGGGGGTGGCAGATGGCCACATAACGGTCAAGTGCCATCATGCCTAGCAGCACGCACTCTGTTGCCCCCATGGAAAAAGAGAGAAACATTTGAACCATGCATCCTGAGAAGGAAATGGTTTTCCTTATTGTCAGGAAAGTGTCAAGAATTAGTGGAACAGAGGAGCTTGTGTAACAAATGTCAAGGAAGGAAAGATTACAGAGGAAGAAGTACATCGGGGTGTGCAAGTGAGAGTCATAGATGATTACTGAGATAAGCACGCCATTCCCCAGCAGGATCATCACGTACGTCCATAAAATGAGTACAAACAGCACTGTCTGGAGCCTTGGGTGGGCAGAGAGCCCCACAAGGACAAACTCTGTCAATACGGAATTATTTCTTCTTTCCATAGTACATATGCTCTTTCTCCAACAGCTACTCTGTGGGCAATAAAGAAAGAATTTGTTAGTACAGACGCCTACAACAGCAGCTTTTTTCAAAGCATCATTTTGTATTTTACAATGAATCTGTATTTTGATGAATACTATTACTTTAGCATGTTTCTTACTATATTCTTAGAACATTAGAGCCTGAATCTTCAACTTGACTTCCCCAGGGTTAAGAATTGAGAGTAATTTTCATTAAATAAACACATTTGAAAATGTAGCCTTTATTGTAGTGTAGTCTTATAAGGAGATAAGCGCATACAAAGATGAAAATAACGTGAACTTCTCAAGGTCTGAAGGCAGCTCTCTGTGGCTGAGTCTCTGGATCTGTATCTTTTATCTTCATAATAATGGTCATGTATCTGACCCTAATCTCACTAAGAAACAGCAACTTTATTGAAGGAGGGAACACATTTCACTACATTCTCTGTATGATGAGGGCATATGTGTTCAAATTATTTTTTATTGAAAGTACAAAACTAATTTTATTGTAAATAGTTGGTAAAGTGAATAGTGTTGTTTTGTATACTTTACCTATGTTTTTTATTTTAATTTTTGTGTAAGAATCATTACCTATGTAATAATAATGCTGTTAAGAAAAATATTGAATTTAAACAAGTCATATTCCTGTTGTTTGCTGTTGACTTGGCACCTACCCATAGCTGACCTTCTAGCAGGTTTTCGGAGGCTGTAAATCACACAAGAGGCGATTGTCCATCCTTTTCTCACTGGCCAATCATTAATCCTTTGGCAAATAAAATTACAAAGCATATTATATAAAGTAAACAAAGAAGAAGGTCTTGCTAGTTTAAATTCTCTCTCTCTCTCTCTGTCTCTCTCTCTTTCTCTCTCAGTGCTACTGAGTCAGAACTGACTCAAAGCTGACCCTCCATTGGTGGGTATATGCTGGTGAATTGGAGCTGTCCATGAGGCATGCCTTTGGGTTAAGAGCATCACTGTGTGTGCTGGGCCACTAGAACTCTCAGAGGGGAGGACAAAATAAAATCCCTTTGCCACCTTGATCACTCTATGCTCAATTCATCTTCAAACAATTCCAGGGGGGGAGGGTAGAGAAAATAGTGCAACAATGAATAAATGGAAACCCAAAATCTCTGTAACTGTTCATTAAAATGAATAGAATTTAATAAAAAAAACCCAAAACCTTATGTACAAGAGCTCTAAACACTTTTCTATCCTGTGCCAACCTAGCCATCTCAACTACACTAATTCCCACTACTCCAGTTACAGAATCGATCCATCTCATCGAAGGTCTTCCTCTCCTTTGCCACCCCTCCACTCTGCCAAACATGATGTGCCTCTCCAAAGACCAGTCCCTTCTTGCAACATGCCTAAAGTATGTCAGGCGAAGCTTCAGAATTCTTGACTCCAAGGAGCATTCCAGCTTCACCTTCTCCAGGACACACCTGTTTGTTCTCCTAGCAGTCCATGGTATATTCAACACTCTTCTCCAGCACCACAGCTCAAAGGCATCAATTCTCTTTCTATCATCCCTATTCACTGTCCAACTCTCTGATGCATAGCATGTAATTGCAAAGACTCTAGCCCAGATCAGGCGCACCTTAGTCTCCAGCCTGACATCATTGCTCTTCAGTATTCTTGAGAGGTCCCTCACAGCTGACTTTCCCAATGCAATTCATCTCCTGATTTCCTGGCTGCTGTTACCAAGAGTGTTGGCTGTGGAGCCAAGTAAACTAAATCTGTTAACTATCTCAATCTCTTCACCATCCACACTGATGCTACCAATTGGCCAGTGGTGAGAATCCTTGTTTTCTTGATGTTGAGCTTCAGTCCATATAGGAGGCTACTGTCCTTGACCTTCTGCAGCAAGTGCTTCAGGTCCTTCTCACTTTCAGCAAGCAGGGTTGTGTCATCTGCATAACGCAGGTTGTTGATAACTCTTCCACCAATCCTGACGCCACATTCCTCTTCGTACAGCCCAGCGTCTCAGATGATCTGTTCTGCATGCAGATTGAAAAGGTATGGAGAAAGAATACATCCCTGATGGATCCCCTTCTTGATTTTGAACCATGTAGTGTCTCCTTGCTCTGTTCTGACGACTGCCTCTTGGTCCAAGTATAGGTTTCACAGTAGCACAATCAAATGTTCTGGGATTCCCATTCTCAGAGTCAGCCACAGCTTGTTGTGATCCACACATTCAAAAGTATAAATTAATAAACTTGTGAGAAAACTGTGGTGTGAGATTAAAATTGGCCACTTAGCCTCTGTCTCTAGCTACCTTAATCACAGACACATAGTGTTGCAGATCAGCATCAGCGGTGAGACTGGACTAAGAGAGTGCTGCTTCTCACATTGAACAGCAAGGCTTGAGGCAGGCAAGGCTTGTGGCCACAAGACCCTGGTCAAAGCAAGACCCTGGTGGGGGAGAAACCATGACACTGCTATGGGCTAACAGTGGCAAGGTGTGACCTGAGGCTTGTTGCATTTGTGCTGGCCACAGTTAAAGGTTTGGCTGTTCTTGCCAGATGTTTGAAGGAGAAGATGACTTACAACTGCTGTGAGGAAATCCTTGCTGGATGATTTAGATTTGACTGTGAAACTGAAACTGGAGCCTGGATTTACTGAGGAATTATGCCTTGGGACTGCTTGGCTAAAATTTGGCTTTGCATTGTTATTCTTTGCCTCTTCCACTCTCCAACCTCCTTCCCTAATAAACCCCATGGTCAGTATCAAAACTATAATTTTGTCAATCCGAAAAAAAAAGAAAAGAACCTCTTGCTGTACGTGTGGCTCCAGAGGCACCATTGGGTTCAGTTATGGGCAATTTATCTGCTCTCTAATCTGGGGCAATAAGGGGCTGTGTTATTCTTACTACCTCTGGCTCTTTTAGAGAGATGCTTATAGTCTTATGCCCCAATGTCTTGTTTTCTCCTCTTTAGACAAAAACTATATGCAAAAAGCTTATAGCAGATTATTATTTGTTTACAACTATTGGAGAAAGTGTACACATTTTCTTAGGACTTAGAATAAGATAATTATGCTTACTCTTACAAAAACTGGTTAATATAATCTTCACAGCCTTTGTCAAAACTTTATGAAACAAAAATGTCAGAGTTGTAACAAAAAAATGAATATTTAAATTCTAGAACGTGATGATTAAAAAAGGAGCTTGGGTGGTATTCTGGGTAAAGAGTTTGTGGTTAAATACTTTAAAAATAAATTTAGAAGTATAGTAAAGGATACATAATAATGGTTGAGTAATTGTCAATAAGATAAAGCATAATAAAGACCTAATTACCTTCAAATTAATATATAAATTGATTCAAAATTAAAGGATTTTTAAGGAATGTGAATCCTTATACCAACATTCATAATGGACGAATTGTTGTTAAGTGCCCTTGAGTTGAGTATGACTTACAGTGACCTTATGAACAACAGACCCGAACCCCGTCCTATCCTGTGCGGTTCTCACCATCTCTGACACACTTGAGCCCATTGCTGCAGTCAGAGTGTCAATCCACCTGGTTGGGGGTCTTCCTATTTTTTCACTGATCCTCCAGCTTTCTAAGAATGTTATCCCTTTCCAAGGAAAAGCTCTTCTAGCAGAGAGAAATTTTCTAGAAAGTTTCATCATCCTTGCTTCCAAGGAGCATGCTGGTGACACTTTTTCCAAGGTATGTTTGTGCTGGTTTTTGGTTTTGTTTTCTTTTCTGTATCCTATGTGATATTCAGTACTCTTTTCCACCAACACATCCCAAAGGCATTTCTGTCATCCTTATTCGTTCTTCAACTCTCAAATGCATTCCAAGCGATCAGAAATATCATGGCCTAAATCAAGCACACCTTAGTCTTCAAATGGACATCATTGCTCCTGAGTAATTTGGAGAAGTCCCTCACAGCACACAGAATGGAAAAAGTCTCCTGATCTCCTGACTGCTGGTACAAAGAGTGTGTATTGTGGATCCAAGTAGGATATAATCACTGATAATTTCAGCCTTTTTTCTATCTATCATGTTGTTGCGTATCAGTTTAGTAGTGAGGATTTTTGTTTTCTTCTACAGAAGAATTTAATGAAGTAGCATTTGAGCCAGAGCCTAAAGTGATGAAGGCAGAAGTTCAAGCTACTTTGAAGGAAATAGCAAAAAATAAGGCCCCCGGAATAGATGGTATATCAATTGACATATTTCAGCTAACAGATGCTGCCGTGGATGTGCTCACCAAGTTGTGCCAAGAAATCTGGAGAACAACTACTTGGCCAAATGACT